GCGGTGCCGCCGAGAGGAGGGGCCGGGCGTTGGCCACGGACACCCCCCGGAGCGTCCCCCCCGGCCCCGCTCACCTGCGCTGGGCGCCGCGGGACGCGCGGCTCGGGGCCCTGCGGCGGCTCCGCGAGCGCCTCGGCGGCGACTGCCCGGGGAGCCCGCGCCGCGCCGCTAGTGAGCATGTCCGAGCGCCGGGCATGCGGGCTGCGGGCCCCGCTCCGCCCTCACCTGCCCGGGCACCGCGCTGCCCCGCCGCCGCCGCCGCCAAGGGCGGTCCTGCCGTCCCCTCCTCGCCCCGCTTGGAGGTGCGGGGGCATCGTCAAAAGCGCGCCTTCGACAAGTTCGCTCCGGAGCGATTTCCACCCCCCCCCATAAAGAGAGAGTGAACTTCGCCAAGTTCGGGTAACCGTCACCTCTGATGGTTCGTCCGCGTCCGCGCAGGTGGGAAATACCGCAGGCAGCCCTCCCTCGGGATCCACGGGAAATTCTGCACGTGGTCGAACTCCCAACAAGCTGAACCAGTGAAGCTCTGCCCCTGCCACTGCTGCAACAGTTTGAAGTGTCTTTAAAGCCTCTGTTAAAGCGCGGGACATCAGAAACTGCCCCTCTCTGGCCATTCCTGCAGCACCGACAGCACTTGGCACAGACAAGGCTGCTGATCTCAAAAGTAGCAAATTGCCGGTTTGTGGCATGTTAATGAGTATTTGCAACTTTTTAGCAAGCTGAACTGATACCTTTTCTCTTGCTGATGTCTCCCCCAGGACCCTGGCACGTGCTATTAGGGATAAAGTTTAAAAGAACAGTTCCCCCTAGGAAAGACAATTCAGTCCTGCCAGTGTCCTCTGCTGTCACTACAAGTAAGTCAGTAACATTTCAGGACCATTTACCGAAAACCAAAGAACACCAGAATTGCCACTATTTCCTCTTCCAACAAGGCAGAGAGAGCTCTCAGGTTTTTGTGGAATAAAGTGACTCTACCTGACAATTGTGTAACTACACACAGTAAATGTCTCAGCTAATTTTCAGATCGAGTTTTAGATTAGTCACAAGAAAGACAATGCAAGGAAAAGGGAGCAACATGCACAGATGTGCACTTCAGTACAAGATGGCTCTACCAGAGCTGAAGATCTGTTAAACAGCTTTTAAGCACTGATGAGAGAGAGATATAAATTCACAGGTACTTTAGAAACATTTAAAATAGTTTTTACAGTTTCTTCTCTAAAGACTACTTTAATTAAAAAACATATAAATCCAGTTAGAAAATATTCTGAAGCAAACCACACAGAATGGCTGTTCATTCCAAGAAAATAGAAAGTATTTTTTAGAAGAGTACTGTGTCTTTCTTAACTGTTCACATCTACCACATCAAACCAGAAATAATCAGGTCATGGATTTTCCATCTGCTTACATACAAACCCTGAACCTGAGTCAATAAAAGTCACAAGTTAACAGAATACTCAATTCCTTGAGATATTCACAGTAGTCTGTTAATATATCCCTCAACTCTGAATTTTCAGAGTGTGAACCTTCCTATAACATTCAGGGCATGAACCCAGTGACAGTACAAACAGTCGATATTGAAGAGGATCAAAACACTCTCTTCAAAGCTCTTTCCCTTCCTTTGTACTTTGAAAATGCTCCCAGAATTACGACAGAATTAACAGAGCCAGGCCAAACACCAACTGCAAGTCACACCAGCTTTGCTACACTATAGTATTTCAACAGGAAATACACTTTAACGATTTTCTAAACTCACAGTCACTTCATATGAACATTCACTGCTACTAATTCCATCCTAGGGAGGGAAAACTGTTCACAACACAGCTACAGTCACTCCAAGGACCAACCAGTCTTGCAAACCCCTCCTATTTCTGCACTAGAGTCGCTCAGTTTGGAACTGGTTATTGTGTAACTAACACTACAAGAGGGGAAAACAGACCAATAAAAGCCAGGCTTACAGTCTTGTGCTCTCCATTGCGACCGACCACGCGGATGATTTCTCCTGTAGGAACACGTTCAATCCGCAGTTCCATTTTTCCAAGGAAAGTCAGGAAATCTCTCTATTCTTTACGGACAGTTCTGATTTCAGTGCACAGCAGCAGCAGCAGCAGCAGCAGAACTTGACTAACTGCAATCTTTGGTTCAGAGCCCTGTTGTGAGAGGAAAAGATGAACCTCTGTATTTATACTAAGGGTTAGGTGTGAGCTGAAACAATTAAGTTCAAGACTAGTTTCCACTGGTTACAATGTGCCACGACAGTTCCAAGAAGCCTAAATTTATGCTTGTGTTTATTGCTGCCAACTTTGTTGATGTTCCACTTTACTCCCAGCGGACTTGGAATTCCAAGTCAAGTCGCTGCGGATGCTGTTTCAAGGTATTAGCACGAAACAATCACACTGCAGACTTCAAAAACCTACCGAGAGATTTCATGTAGAGAAAAATTCTTCATCTTTGCCTCCAAGAGGCAGAGCAATAGAAAATACTGATTGCTCCCATGGTAACTACAGGAAGTTCTGCAAATTGCTGCAGAACGAAATCATTATTAATTGAGTCCTTGAGTAGCAAACTAATCATGACAAAGGAAATTAACTTGCATGTTACTGCACAAAAATTCCTACTACAAATATGAGAAAAATCCTCTGGTGAACAGAGGTTTAAGTGCAATTACAGAGCTTTACAATGGTCATGCCATCCCTTAATGGAGAGGCCAGACCTTTCACTCCCTTCATACACCCCTCCAAAAAAGATGCAGATATCCCACCTGTGATGGGGGGGGGAATCAATCTAAATTTCGGGTATTTTAAGACTTGCTGATAGGAGGCAATTCCTTCTACCTTCTTGGAAGAGCCAATTTTGAATTTTCAACTGTACTACGAACCAAGTCCAAACGATAATGCTTGCCAAAAAACCTACCTAGTTAATAAGATTAACAACCACTGGCCACTCCAAAGCAGATCCAGGTAACACCATTCTGCTCAGCAGCTGAAAAGAAACAGCCTGTCACTGTTCTGTGTTTCATATCTGGAATCATTCTTATGCTTTTCCCTTAGCTGTTACACACAAGATTGCTCCACTCCAACAATTGTTGCCTTGAGCACTTACTTGCCAATACAGGGTTCTACTGAAAAAGAGATTTTTATCACATTTTAAAAAAATCATCACTGTCACTTCCCCAAACAAACCCACCATATGGAGCAATACCCAGCCTCTCCCTTCTCCCCTTCCTATGGAGAGAAATCACAAGGATCAGTCGTCTAGAACACAAGAATTGTGTCGTTGGAATGGCTCCTTTGATGCTGATACCAGAACTATGTGCACAAAAGCTTTGGAAAATGGGCTACAAGTCAGTGACAAGAGAAAAAAAAAAAGGATAAAGAAAGTAGAAAGAAGCTGAAGAAAAAAATTGTAAGAACAAAATAAAAAAGGGAAGAGAGGAACATAGTGTGGTCTTTGCTGAGCTCAAGCAGTTCACTGTAAAACCACTTTAACTACACTGAAAACACACTTACAGTGAAAGTGGTATTTGATAAATAATCCTGAAATATTCCCCACCAGGGCTGATGTCTGTACTTAATGCCAGTTTCAAAGTATGGTTAGCAGGTTAAAATGTTTGATATTCTGTTTTTCTTCCTTTTGTGGTGCCAATATTCTTATTTTCTGAATTTTCCCTGCACCTCTGCATTTCCTCTCACCAGTTTGCATTCCCAGTTCTCACACTTGCCCTGACTTCACTGTTTTCCTCCAGTGATTCTTCCAATCTGTGCTCAAATGTTCCCGAACAGAATTCTCTTGCTACTTTCTAATTTCATTGCAAAATGAGATTTCTTTTTGATTGCAGAGACCTTGGAAGTGGAAGATGACAGGTCCACTGTAAGAGAGAGAGGTGGGATGTTCACGCACAAATGGATGATTTTTCTCAAGCTGAAGCAATTAAACAGACAAGTTCAGTGCAGCTCCTGAGCAGATTAATTTCCAGAGGAACTGTGCACTGCATAGAAATTGCTTCAGTTCCATCACATTCCAAGAGTGAATCCCTATATCCAAGGCTTGAAAGGGACATGGGAAGTTTCCTGTCAGTAACGCGGATTTCTCAAAAAAAAAAGGATCGTTTCCTCTCTCAAGGAATAACTAATTCAGGCTTTGTTCAACTGGCCTTTTCACTGCAGTATATTAATTAAGACAAGTTCATCTGAGTGTCACTTGGTGTCCAAGTCCAGAGAAGGAAGCAGTGGTAGTGGAAACAATAGTCTTTATCAGAACGTATTTTTAGGGTCTAACAAACACGCAAGACATCTTAGAAATATTTCCTGTTTACACAGAGCTGTACTATCTCTGTGCAATGATACACTGCACATCCTGGGGTTAGCCAGGAATCAGAAATATATGGAAGTTAAATGAGGCTATATTGGACAACATTCCTTGCTAGACATATTTCCTATTTTTAAATAAATTCTCTAACACCAGGGAATTATGAAAAGTTACCCGTAGACGGAAATTATTTGAGTGCAAATTTATATTAAAACATGCAAAATTTAAAAGCATAATGAAGCAGATCTCTCACAAAGACAAAAATGACACCTCTAATCACCCCGTGAAAAATTCTCTGTGAAAAAGTGAAATTAGAAGAACCTGTTCTTAAAAATGAAGAAAGCAATTTAAGCGTTTGTGCATTTTTACAAGGAAAATACCAAACCCTCCTCAGTGGGGTAAGGGGGACAGAAATGCAAAATGACAAGTTCATTTAATATTGGGTTCATTGAAATAGGGGAAAAAAAATTAGACGAATCTGCTTTATCCAAAAGTAAAATAGCATCTGTCCTTGCCTTTCTTTTGCAGCCCAAAGCCCTACACCATGTTATTATTGACTGATTTCCACTCTAAAACACTGTTGTATCTGTGCATTAAACATGACCAAAGTTTCCTGGAGAAGGGTTACCATGCACAAATTAATCCTCCCCACCCAAACCAATATGCTCAGTCCCAAATCAACAGAGGCCACGTACAACACTTCACTGCCAGGATTTATTTTAGAGGTACATGAAAAGAAAACACATGAGTATAAAAACACTTCCAGTGATTATAACATCCAATTAAAGGTGTTTTAAGAAAGATAAATTTCATCAGAAATTGCATCATTGCAGGTCATGGAATAGTTTGAAAAGCTACCATAGGTAACAGTAGTAAACAAAAGTGCCTCTGTGTGCATAATACTGAAGAAAGAAGTACAGTTCTGTGCAGCATCCTACTAACAAGCAGTTCCAATCCCAGCTGCCGTGGGCATTTTCAGTGAAGTCCTGTGGTTCAAAGGATTAGTTTACAAAATGCAGCTTCTGTGTCCAGTGACAGAGGGTTATCAGCTCCCACACAACAGAAGGGCTCTCGAGTGTCTCGCCCCAGCAAAGCGGCTGCGTGGCTCCCCCTCTGAGCTGCTCCCGAACAGCAGATGCACCCTGCTTGGAAGAAACTGGATCTTGGTCCACAATAAATCACCAGCTGTGGTCTGGAATTCAAAGACCACTGTTCTTTGGGCTCTCCACAGAATCTCCTTGCATGGAGTATGGTAATGGTTACACAAGTGAAATCAGAAACAGAGGACAACTCGAGAACTGCAAGAGTTATTGCAATTCAGCAGGGATTTGTCTGGTGCCCTAATTGCCATGAGAAGTCTCACACCTGAAAGATTCAGTGCAAAACAAATTGTTGCGAGACCGGTACAAATGTGAAAACTGTTTCTAGTATTGTTCCAAAGTGTAACAGGAATGTACAGACTGTAAACCTCGAGGCAGTGTTCATCCAGGCAATGAACACAGGATCCTCTGAACCTGCCCTCGCTACTCACAACTGGGAGCAGTTCCCAACACCAAGCTTTAAGCTGAATATGTCTAAAAACCTACAGAGGCCAAGTGTTCCTAACCCCCACTGCAACTACCTCACCAGATAACCTATGTTAGAGCTCCCACAGCATACAAAGACACCTGGCCCTCCAAAGATTTTATACAGTGAATGATACAAGCAAGTAACCGCCAAACAAACACCAAGGTGCTAACTTTCTATCTCAAAACACTCCTGAAAAAAATAAGGCTTTGAGAAAGAGGGCAAAAAGGAACTGATTCATTTCTGAAGCAGCATTCCAGCATAAACACACCAACACCCTTTGCTCTTCCACTTGAACCAAATTTGCTCTTTTCCATCCCTAACCAGTGATTAGTAACTAACTCTACTTACCATACATGGTAGGTTGCTGGAAGCTTTGTATCTGTAACAGGGGAGACTCACAAGTGCTCTTTTCCAGCACTGCAGTCTCAGGTTCTGTGGAATGTTGGTGCTTCTTCCTATCCTTTCCAAATATCTCCATTTCCTCATCAAGAAACAAAACCATTTCTGAAGCTAACTACCCTTCAGGTTCCTAAAGTACATAAAGTTTCTTATTGCATCTCCACCCTCAAGTGCACAGGATGTATTAAGGTCTAAGCACCATTTGAAAACCAGAAATTTTTAAGACTGATTGCTCTAAATGGAAGAGATTTACAACTTTTATAGCACAGATTATGCCAAATTCTTCACAATCATAGGCTCCTCACCTATGCTAAAGCATTTCTTTCAGAAATTGTGGGATCCTGGTCAACTCCGAGCCAGGGACTGGTATAAAAATTGTGTTATTTTACTTTTTTTAATGAGGGGGAGAAAGGCAATAGGCAAATTGCTTAACTGTTTTATAAAAGAAGAATTTCTAAAAAATCAGGGAAAATACATTTTGATAAATGTATTTCAATTTGGAAAAATTAAAAATGGAAAATCCTACAGAGAGTTCTCAGTAAGGCATGAAGAAAAGGATCTACCAAAGGAGACTTTACACAGCCCAAAGATTTTGTTTTCATGTGACCTGGTGTCACACATGTTTCCCAAAGGGTAATTAGCTTACATTTGAAGGTCAAATAAAATTTCAAAACAAGCTAACTGGCCATATCTAATAAATATTTTAAAATAACTTCATTTGAACTCAAAATTTGGAAATCAATTATTAAGTGGTTACAGCATAGTAAATATTGCATGGTAAATAAAATATCCTCTACAAAAAAGGGAGCCTAAAAATCTATTAAACATGGCAACTTCCTTAGGTTAAATCATTGTATTAGAAATGTCTATCACCTTAAAACACACAGCATTCATTAAGTGCTATTTTTACAGTTCTCATCCAGTGCAAGAGAGTTACTCTCCCCATAATAAAAATATCTGTTTCCACAATAAATTATCTTCCACGAGCTTACAAAGTTTCTGAACAATCCTACCTGTCTTACTCCATCTTCTAAGAGTAAAAGCTTACAATCACTAAGATATAAAGAATCATCTGACTCCTGAATCAGGACCACTAAATCCCCTTCCTGTCTTCAGACTCATCACGTGATTCCAGATCGTCAGGTTTCTGCATCCAACTGTTCTCTTCCTGTGTCAAATCCTTTTCTATTGAAGTTTTGCTGGGCAGAATCTGGGAGAAAAACAAGTTAAAAAACAAATTAACAACTCAAACCCACTGTTTTGCTCTGCACTATCAACATACCATTACAGAAAGATGTCTGTCATGCTTGCTAAAAATTGAGAAAATTTAAAAATCTAGTAAAAATCCACTAAACTGATACCAAAACATTAAGTGTCATGCAAAAAGAAAGGCATATTGGATGTTGTATCCATGTACAACTGCCAACCATCCTGCAGAGTCTCTGGTAGATATTAAGCTCAGAGGCAACAGAAATACACTGCCATGTTTCTTAGCAAAACAGAGAGAAAAACAGGAACAGTAGCACTGAGATATCTCAGCCAGCCCAGTGACTTTCATTACTGTATCCCCTAAGGCAATGCAGCTCCACAGTCTTTTAAAACCCCTTCATCCAACAACAGTGCAGAACTTCTACTTCACATTAGCACAGCCATGACAGCACGGAAAATTATGCACAAACAAAATTATTCTGGAAAAAACAGTGCTTGTGTAGAAGCAGCAATGCTTGGTCACTTCACCTTGCTTGTGCAGGTTAAGTGATCCTTTCAGAAATTAAATGAAGCCTGTTAAACAATTAACTTGAGTTCCAGCTGTACTGTCTTTCCCAAATTCAAGTAACTAATATACAGGAAACACTTCTGTGCAAATCTATCACAGAATGGAGCACAAAGAGCTCACTTACAATCTGCCAGAAACCTGGCAGCACTTGAGTTCTCATTTTTATAGAAACTAGGACCTAACATGAGAGCCTGAAGTTCCAAAAGTGGAAGCTGAGAGAGAAGAAACCTGTCTTATTTCACTGCTATGTGTTGCCATAACAGCTACTCAAGAGTCTTTTAGCACATCAGCAAATTCTTTTATGGGATGTTAGCCAGGACATATAATTTTTAGAATTCCTTCTGCTGCCACCTCCTCCAGTATTAACACAGTTGCACACATCTATGTTCAGATGCATGTGAAAGCAAAAGAAACTGAAAAGATCACATCAACATTAATCAGTGCTTCCAAATACCTTACCTGAAAAGGCTCGCTGATACCAACTATTGTCTGCAAGTTATTGCTATAATAACACAGCAAAAATTCTCCTCCCATAGTAGGTATTTCTGAAGCACTCATGTAAACCTGGCAACAAGAATAAGAAGAGGCAATGAGCAACTTCCACAGAAAAAGAATTTTACAAAAAAATCAGTCTCTGCCATTCAGGACACCTTAAAAATCAGTATTGACTATTTATGAGTAGGTTTTAAAACAAACTAAAATGGATGAGGATAGAAATAACTTATGAAACCATCTGAAAACTAAGTCAGGGAGGAAAAGGAATATCCTTCACCATGTTAGCAAGATGAGTTGGTTCAGTGAGAAGGGAGAAGAAAAAGCCCAGAGTGGTTGTAGGGGAAAGGACAAGGCCATGGAGCAGCAGGGAGGGAGTGGAGCTGCCTCCTGGTGGCAAGGAGCCGTTGTGTGAACAGCAGAGCAAAGCACCACCTCGGTTTGCTCCTGTCCTGAAACCTCCCGTCCCCAAACTGCACCCCACGGTGTCCTGCTAAAACAACATTCATAATGCTCAGATTTCTAAGCTTTGTATTTACACAATACAATTTTTGGGTTCCTGTTGTAAACTTGATGCTAACTTACAAAATCTTTAACGTGAAATAACTGCTTTTCCCTTGTCTGGAAAATCTTATCCATCCTTGCAGTCACCAAAATTAAATTAAATTAAATTGTGTCTCCAAAATTAAATTTCAATTTCTGTTTCTTCAGATAAATATCTCTGGCAACACATCATTTGTATTCCAAATAAGTTTTGTTTGTTTGTTTTCAATCACTTTAGGAAATCACTACTAGCAAGCTTTGTAACAGACAGCAGTTTTTAAAGAAGGACCCAAACACTCAGCAGTCAAAACAAAAAGTCTAAGAAACCTCAATCTGGAGCTGTATTAAGTACCTGGAACTAACTGTGTAAATAGTTACAACTATAACCAAAATAATAAATACTAAGGATACATTGAGCAACTTGGACAATCAGGTGAAAAAATGGCCCATTACTTAATGCAGTGGCAGAAACAGATTAAAATATAAAATGACAGTAGTTTTCGTGCAGTGAAAAGTCACTACAGGAATAAATTGCTTTTTCATCAATTCCCTTAAGCTATATGATCACACTGAGAAGGTGTGCCAGACTATCTGGAAATTACTAAGAATTAGGAAGAGGGATTTTAAACAATAATATTGCTCCCAATTAGCTTCAGCTGGGAAAGAGGATACAGAACCCCCCAGAGGAAGGGGATATGGGGGACACAGACCTTCAATGCTACTCTGTGGGAAACTACATTAGAAAGAAATACAACTGACTTACTTGTTTACTGTCTTTGTTAGAAGAGATTTCATCATCTTCTACCCAAGCATAAGTAACATAATCATTCATATGCCTGAAAGTCACCTGCAGAGAAAGATGCAAACCATCAGCTTTCTGAAGGAAACAAAAAGCATATTACATGGAAAACTCAAAGTTGTGAGAGCTGTTTACTACTTCACTGACGTAATTATAACACTGCACTTTTAGGATAAAAACATTTTAGGGGCAGGCACATAACTTTTGTTTCTCTCACCCTTCCACTAACTAATTTTAGTTCTTTCTTTGGTACATAAATCTCTTGAATTGCAGAAACTCCTTTCCATAGCTTCTTTAACATTTTATTTAAATAAATCACCACAGTATCTTAGCAGAGAATCTAAGGGTGTGAAAGAACTCACATCTGTGGAGCTAAACTGTCAGCACACAGAAACTAATGGTAATCAAGGAGACACAATTCTGCACTGGCAAGAATCACAATGCCCTAAAACTAGCAACTACCTCCTCCAGTCCTATTCACCATCTTTGCTGAAGAACCATGAGATGAGAACAGTACCTTGAAGAGCCCAATCCAGTCCCAAGCACTGCTCGGGAGTTCAGGCACTGCGGAGTAGCGGATGAGAACATCGTGTTCTGCACTCCACTCCCCCTCAGGGTTCAGCACGACCAAAGGAACTGAGACAAGAGGCTTCAACTAGGCAAAAGAACAGATTTTAAAGTCAGTCAACTCTGTCATTCTTTTAGTTATTCAAGTTATTCTCTGCCACAGCTGCTGTGGGACTCCTAACTGAGTGGAAATAAACTGACACCAATTTGCTGCCTTCACTATAAATAGAAGGAAAGAGAGATTTTGGTTTAGAAAACCAGATTCTGTAAGGTAACACTTGGTAAAACAAACTTTTTCTTAACAACAAAACTGGGACAGCACCTCCAGCCCGAATGTTCCTGTAACAGGTTTGTGGTCGCTGATGCCATAGCTCATGTGACTGACATAGTTATGCAAAGTAACAAAAATTGTCTGCTCTTCTTCAGAGAATTCGCCTTCTTTTGATGCATTCTGGCAGAGATGTTTCACTCTCCAAAGAATCCTATCAGTCCATGCTGGCTTTCGTTTCTTCTCACTGCAAAAATGTAAGGTAAAAGTGAAATGAGAAGAAAAACAAGTTGGCAAAAGCTAAGAATGCTGTGCAAAATCTACTCAGAGTTGAAAGACAGTCAGATACGTATCAATAAAAGAGGGCAATCGCATTCAAGCTTCATTTTACAGCTCTGTTCAAAATGCTTTACAACCAACATTTCCTCAATTTGAACTCCATTAACCACAGACCAGTTTCATGGGTTTCTGAAAGAGGAGTAAAATGAAGGGGAGAAGGGCATTTCAGTGGGTTAGTTGGCTTCATACAGGAAATGATACTTTCTCCTAAAAAAAAAAATAAATTCAAGAACATTGAGATAATACAGCAACTGCCCCAAGCTTCAAATGTATAGATATTCTGAGAAATGAGGGCATAAACATAAGGAATATGTAGAAGAGTGTGAATGATGTTCGAAATTATTCAAGATGATTGAGGACAGGTTTCTTTTAACAACAAAAGAAGGGGACAAACTTGGGTAGCTTATGGTAATCACAGGTGCCACAGCAATTATTTAAAAGTTCCTCTAAACTGTACCAGCCTGCATTGCAGGTCTTTAGACAAGAGGCTTTCAAAATTCCATGATCAAGAAAGTTGTGCCTGCAACTGTGCTGTACATCAAACTGTAATGATAATGCAGAGTTTCCTCCTGTTCCATATCAGTAACAACAGAAGACATGAGCCTTCCGTGGTTCCCTCTGCAGGGGGAGGAAGACTTAACAGCAACTTCTCTGTATGGATGTGTCACTTCAAATTGAAATGGAGAAAAGATCATACCCTATGGAAGAGGAATTAGAATGGACTGGATTGAGTTATAACAGTTAATGAGCAGGATGTGTAAGGAAAACTGTCAGTTTTATAACTCTGAATATCAAAACCAATGCCATTTAGTTCAATATTCAACATATTTCTATTTTACCCCTTCCCATATGCAAGTCTGACTCACCTTTAGTAAGGTGGAAAGATTTTAAGTGACTAAGGGCCCTTATCCCACTTACTCCAGTAATTATATAAACCGACAGAAATCTTTATGAGCTGCCATATGTCTGCTCTGCTGTGCAAGAAAATACCAAAGAAACAGCTTAAGTTAATACACTCACTATTTTAGAGAAAATGGCAGGTTAGATGGGAAACAAAACCTCAAAATTCACACTGAATAAGTATCAAAAAGTAACAAAATACTGTGGATTTCATTAAGAGCACACTTTTCAAGTCTGCTGATCTCCCCCCATCTGAGCAAAGTCTCTCTGCTTGCTTGAACAGCAGCAGCTCACACACAGTATGTGCAAGCACACTTTTTGTTCTTTAAATGAGCCAATACAGACTTCCAGGCTATGAATCATTTGTAGAATGTCTGGGTTGGGATTATTATAAGTCTTTTTTGTTAACTGGATTTACTGCTGGTCTCATTATATATCCTTACACTCAATTAAGGAGCAAAATGTCTTTGGATATAAAGGAATAACATCCAATGTTAAGTGCAACAGCAGAGTAGATAACACTACAGCTTTCAGACAGGTTCAGAAAGGCCCTAAAGAAAATCAGTTGTCATCTGATTTTCAAATATTTCACAGAAATCAAATCAAAAGCTCAGAAAAGAGCCTTGTTTTGATTCTGAAATATTTACGAAACTACAAAATTCAGAAAGTTCTCTTCTTACTTAAACCAAAACAGGGACTTCTGTTCTCTGGAAATAAAGAAAAAGATCAGTACAAAACCCCTGTTTGGACAGGAACTTATCCTCCTGTTAAAATATAAGACTAATACTTAACAACAAACTTTAGCATCAGAGAAAAACTTCAGAAACTTAAGATTCTACATTTTCAACTTAAAATAATCAGCGAAGACAAATTTACATTAACTTTCAAATACCAGCATACCAAATAAAATGCTGAAACAGAGAAGGAAATCAAAAATTGCAGACAATTACTCTTTTTCTTTTGCTCCTTTCTGACAACCAGTGGGCACTTGTAGCCATAAACAATAAAATAAAAGTGGCCTAAACACATGCTCATTTATTCTGTTAATCCAGTCTTTCCAAAAAGGAAGCTGGGTTGTTTCACTACCTCCCTCATGCAATCAGCAGACTCCAGCTTCATCAGCCAGCAATATTAATTTATTCAGATTTGATCAGTGAACAAGCCTAACAGAGTAGCTCAACAGCCCCAGTCAACCAGTACCTTCAGGAAATTCAGGTTTCCTTACTAAAGTGATATTTCACCAAGCCCACATTCACCCCCATATCCCACATCTTAACTCATCTTATTATGCTTTTACCTTGTATCATACACATCCGAGTACAGGTCAAACTTGTAGGTGGGCTTAAACTGCAGAGGACCCTCGATGAATTCCTTAAGAAATGCTTCTGTCTTTTTGGCCATATTTAACTGCAGAAATAAAAAGTAGTTTTCAAAGTTCATGTTTAAAATGCAGAGCTTAAAGGGTGATTGAGAAAGCTCCTTCAACACCTCAGCCAGTACAACATAATTGGAAAGGTAAATTCAGAAGTGCCTCTGTTACTGCCAGAACCCTTGACATGATCTGTCTACAAGTTTTGAAGCAATTACACTCAAAACAAATTCCAGAATAAGGTTCTCTTAAAAATAATTCTTGGGAGAAGAGGAGAAATTAAGGTGAGGAACAACTGACAAGCCATGAAGTTCTAAGAAAGCTCCAGTCAAACACAAGCATTGTAAAGTAAGAAACTAAACAAAAGCAGAAATAGTTGGCAATTAATTGGGGCTTATGACTGAGAGAAGTGAGAGAATGAACAGCTAGACCTGTTCCACCTCATGACTGCTCTGAGTCTGTGTTCTTTGAAAGAAATTAGAAACTCTAGAGGTAATGTTAACTAACATGTTGTGTTTGTATGCATTAAAAACCAAACCAAACAGACTAAGGCAACATACCTGGTCCTTCTCCCAGAGCAGACTGTAACGCTTGTTATTGATGGATTCCCGGACAAAGTGGATGCCATAGTCTGCTATCCGGAAATTCAGATCTCCAAACCAGAAGAGGACACTTAAGAAGAAGAAAAAACAATAAATGCAAAAAAACCAAGGAAGATTTACAGGAATCCACTAACCCAAGGGAAGAATTCAACAGAATAAAAGCCATTATGCTAATTAGGTGCTCTAATCACTTATATTACTTAATGCAAACAGCTTAAACACAAACATTAAGTAGTTATAGATAAGCTTACACAGGGACAACCTGCTGCTACACCAAAAATTTGAAGTAATTGAAACAGTAAATTAAGTCCCTTGCACTCTTGCTGCTTGCTCATTACTGCCTGAATATTAACTTCTTCTGAGCCTCCTAATGATCTGCATCTCTGAACACTGAACAGCAATCAGAAGGATTTTTGGTATAAACAGGCTTTCTAAAGCTTTCCTGCATGGCTTGTACAGTCTATATGCTAACTAATTTATGTAATTAAAGACAGGAAGAGAGCAGCCTTGTAAAACAGATCTCCACCTTTCAGGTTATCTTTTTCCCCCCCAGGATTCAGGCTGAAGGGACATTTAAAATAAAAACGACGGATGAAAAATTCCAAACCCAAAACCCTTCAGTGCGTGAGTTCACCACGTAATAGATAAAAACAACACCAACAGAACAGGGTGAGCAACTCACTCGTGCTCCAAGGTACTTGGAATATTCTCTCCTTCAAACTGCATTTCCAGGATTTTCTCAAAGTCATCCAGTCGCTGCTCTGTGTTCTCCATGTGGGCTGGCAAGTGGCAGTTCATGAAGCAGATCGTGTGACCATAGAGGGACATGCGAATGCTGACTCCTCCTTTGTTCCCCTGGGGCAGCAGATCAACAACATTCCCTGAACCTACACTCAAAGCCTCCAAATGTAACTATTAACACCTAAATCTTTGCTATTTAAATCAATACAATTTCACCCTACAAAAGTTGTTGCCTGTCAGCTAATAAACGAGCAGAATTATGGTCTGTGCAGTGCACTTGCACACACGGCTCAGACAAACGAGTCTCGCTGCCCTGGCAGTTCATAAATTTTTAATTGAACCACATCTCCTCTCTCCCACCATGAAACCATTTAGAGGCACACACACCACCACAAGTAACCAGGGCAACCGAGTCCCAGGCCCTTCCTTACCCAGTATCCATAGAGGCCTGTGCGTGTGAACTGGGTGTGGATGTCCCGGATGAAGGGCAGGTGGACGTGCTTCACAAAGATCAGAAGCAGCAACCCCTGCATGCGAACGGAGGAGAGCTGGGAGAGAGACCAAAGAGGGAATGGTCATTTCCAGGGAGGCATTTGGAAAACTTGGGTTTACTCCACAGGAGCTTGTAAGTGAAGAACACCACAGCAGAAGTCATGCAATGCCCTCACCAAGCGTGGCTTTGATCCTGGGACACAGTAAATGCAGGCACGTTCCAGTGCTGTGAAGAACACATTCCCTGCTTATAGACAAATCTGATCAACCCCTCAACTAATTAACACACTTGTAACAGAATATTACAAATCTGAATTTGACCTTGCCCAAACCTCTTTAAAGACTTTGCTTCTGCCTCCCCGGCCTCTTGTCTCTATCTTTAAGAATCCTGTTCATGAAGAACCAAATCCTTGACTTTTCACCTGTAATCTTAATAGCTCACACCTACAAGTCCTCCAACAGCAGCAAGTTTTTCAAACTGAACCATCCTTCAGCAGATCACTAAACATTCTAAATGCCACTAAAACACCTAAAAAGCACAGCAGGTAATTCTAGACATCTGCAAAAACAATGAGCTGCAAACAGTAGCAACTCCTGCCTGCAGTACCTGTAAAAACTGATTTACCAAACACTTCCAAAGCAACAATACTCAGGGAGGACATAAGACATGGGGGGTTTTTTTGTGGTTTAGGGTTTTGTGTGTGTGTGTGTGTAAATAGTCTATTAAAGATACCCTTCATTAAAAAGTTATGGACTTTACAATGTTCCTGGCATGAGACACAAAATTCATTTTAAGTGTTTTTTTTTAAATGATTTTAAATTAACTTAAATTTAAAATACAGGCATTGAAATATAATAATTCAATTTATGCTGGATTAATTTAGAAAAAGCCTACATTACAGTAAAAGCTGCTGTTAAGAACAACACTGACTATACAACTGCTGGAGAAGTACATACATTCAGCCCAAAATTTAAAAAGGAATTTCTCCTTTCCCTGCCTCCATATCTACACAATTAAATGATTTCAGAATATATGTCAATGCTCTCATTGTCCTTGAACCCAACAAAAAACTAAACAGGATACTGAAGGGATGATGCATAAATATTTCAGTAGCCACCATCCTCCTCTCCATAATTACATTCATGAGATACCAAGATCTTCCAGTCCCGTTGTTATTTGCTTTATTTCACTCTGCTGTGGCCAATCCCCAGACATTTCTCAAGATCCATATGAAACCACCTCTCTGTATGTCTTGAACACTGCAAGACAACAATCCCTCCTCTGTTGGAACCAGCACTAGTCCCACAAATACTTAAAGCCAAATCCAGCAAAGACCTTGCACAGAGGGAACATGATCCTGTGGATGGTGAAAGAATTGACTGTGACCAACTTAACACTCGGAAAACAGACCCTGTTATTGAAGGGACATAGAATCACAGAATTGATTGGGTTGGAAAAGACCTCCGAGATCATCGAGTCCAACCCTTGGTCCAAATCCAGTCCATTTACTAGATCATGGCACTCAGTGCCACGTCCAATCTGCGTTTAAAAATCTCCAGGGATGGTGAATCCACCACCTCTCTGGGCAGCCCATTCCAATGCCTGATTACTCTCCTGTAAAGAATTTTCTCCTGATATCCAACTTAAATTTCCCCTGGCGGAGCTTAAGCCCGTGCCCCCTTGTCCTATTGCTGAGTGCCTGAGAGAAGAGACCAACCCCCACCTGGCCAGAACTTCCCTTCAGGTGGTTATAGATGGTGATGAGGTCACCTCTGAGCCTCCTCTTCTCCAGGCTAAACAACCCCAGCTCCCTCAGCCTCTCCCCATAGGACTTATGCTCCAGTCCCTTCACATAAAAGTCCCAAGGATGACACTCACCTCTCTACACCCAACCTCAGCACAGGTCAGCCAAGGGGTAACTGCTCCTCCCCCCTGGATAAGTCCTGGGATAACCTCTCCTTGCTGCCTGTTTTGATTATGACCTGGCCTGACAGCTCCCTCCTGTTATTGGAGCTAATCCAGTCCTGCTGAAAGCCATTAGGTGGCAGCATCCATTCATTAGTGTGTCCAAACTGCCACATTTATAAATTGGAATTCAAAATCAGCCAGGCATACCACTAGGAATTCTTTCAGCTGTCTCTATGCAGGGCCTGAATGTCAGCCCACAGCCAGATTTTGAATGTTTATCAGCAATGATTTAACCAGAATGAACAATGTGGGTTTCTTCCTTTTTATAATTCCCAATGGGTCCTTTGTTTTGTTTAATCACAATTAAAATAGCAGCACGACTGCTGAGTCTGATTAGCATGCAGATAATGCAATCATCTCAGCAAAATCACCCTAAATAATGCTTGATTTAGAAAACCAATACAACATTCAAAAGGCTTTTAATTTCTCTTTATTAGAGAAATTCAGGATATCCTCATATGTTTATTGTTTCCACTATTAAAATAGGCAGCACTTTAGCTGATCTTATGCCCCAGATATTACCCAAAAATCCTGTCCTGTAAACTACCATATAATGTTGTAGGTCTTCAATCAAATCTGAAGTCCTCAGATAAATACACATACCCACTAAAATCCTGGTTTACGTATATGCAATTTATTTTCACCTGCAAACAAGCTGGAAAAACAAAAGAAAAGAAAAAGGAACCTTAGCAATCTTAACAAAAATCACTGCCATTGCCTGGGATATTTATAGTGCAAGACTACATCAGAAACATCACAACAGAGTTCCCCAATATTGCACAGAGCAAGAAAATGTTCTACAACAAGAGAGACAAAGATATTGTGGCCACAAGAGATATGCTGTTGAGTGTAAGTTCACATCACATTTCATTTTAAATAATCTTCATTACTCTGTTCCTTGAGAGTGTGTTCTTACTAAGACAGGAGTATTTCTACTCATCACATGATTCTGCAGCACCTGCCCTTGCCATTGTAGCTGAGCAGCTTCTTGTTGTGTGTCACATCTGAGCTGCAGAAGCATCAAAACTGCCCAACTATTCCAAATGAGACATGAAAAACCACATGTCCAGTTTTTACTGCTAAAATTAAGGACACTAGTATTAACAGAGAAAAATTAAAACTGCCCTTATCAACAAAACAGGAAAAGACAAGTGTGATGACACATCACTTCTAATAAATGTGGAAGTGACTGACACCTGCAAAAAACACCGTCAACTAATCTTTTATAGAGAGTCTGAGGAAAAGAAAATCTGAATGGAGCTGGGGAAGACACTTTCCTTCAGTGCTGTGACACTGAAGAGATGTAAATAATTACCTTGATGTATCCCAAGGGAGACAATACAGTCATGAAAAAAATGCTCCACGGATCATCAAATGCCAAGTCAGACAGAAAATTGGTGATTTTTGAGTTCACCTCCTGCAAGCTGAATACATCACAATTATTCACACTGTATCAGTTGGTTTCAACACAGCTCATATAACCTTTGCAGAGCACAGATCACAACACCCTAAGATTAAGTCAGAAATTTCTTGCTGTTCAGCTTCTCACTCACAAGCAGTTCAACCCACCCACAGGTCTAACACATCTCACACCGAGAAAAACAAAGTTAAAGGAGCTTATATACACATGAAGGCAGAGTTTCAGACAAGGTTAGGTTCTACACATGGCAAATAACCTGTCAGGGCTTCAAAATTTTAAGAAAGTTTGGAAAACACAATGGCAGATTATGCCTAATAAGCTCACACTAATTCCTTAAAACATGCTGAATATTGCATAACTGTCAGATCAAAATGAACATGCCTTTACCTGATAACAAAGCAAACAGCAGCCAAAACATTTTGTCTGTTTACAAAAAAGATATTCCACGTTTTGTCACGAAATAGCAGCATAAAGAAGAGAAGCTTCTCCTGCTATAAATCATCTTTGTTGTCAGTTAGTACTCTGTTAGTTAGACTAACTAAGTTAGTCTTCACCTTCTGGTAGTAATAGCATTAAACCATCTCCCAGACAGTGATTCACATCACACAGTCCTCCCAAAACAGACCATAAGCTGTTGAGACTTGGCAGTTTTGCAATAAACTTACAAAGCAAGTTCTTTAATATATACTCACCCTATAACATACATATCCATAGTCGGGCCCAGGGAATTGAGCTGGAGTAAACCAGTGACATCGGGAGGTGGAGAAGCTGTGCCCACATTCCAGGTAACTAAGTGCAGCCTACAAACAAACAAAAATCACACAAAACCATTGCTAAAACTGAAGCGTGCACAGGCAACCAACCCTAAGAACGCTCTGATTTCCCCACAGAATTCCTGCCTACGGAAAACGAGGATTTTCTGTCACTTTGCATCCCTCAGAAACCTCTAAAGCCTTAAAGAAAAACCCTAATGCCACCAGAAGAAACAACCAGCCGGGGGGGGGGGGAACAAAACCTGAACTCTTGCCACTTCAGCTTTTTCCCGCAGATGAGGAAAGCTTCGTCCAGGGTGCGAGACACTTCCCTGTGGATCTCATCGTCCGAGCTGACGTCCTCCACACAGGCCATGAGGTGGGCAACTCTCTGCCGGAGCTGCAGGCGGCCGCTGGAGCCCGCGCTGCCGACGCTGCCGGAGCGGCTGCGGAAGTTGTGCAGGTTTTCCAGATCGTTCAGGGAGAGCCCCTCGCAGTGCTGAGAGGCATCCTCGCCGCTGAGGGATGCCATGTGCTCAGAATCAAACCTGCCCTCGGAAGGACTGGCCCATTAAAATCCCAAGTGTATAAAAAAAAACCCCCAAGTAGACAAGGGTCTTCCAGATCGAGCGGAATTCAGCGTTGCTTCTAACACAAAAGGACAAATGTGGGTGCAGCAGGGAAAAAAAAACTCTGGCCTTGCCACCGCGCTCACTGGGTTGTTACAAAAGCTGCAATCACGTCCTACCACACACAGGGAATTGTTTCTTCATAATAGATTTAATGTGGTTTAATTATATAAGCTCGAGATTGAAAAGAATTTATTGTTGATTTGAATCGATCATGTGCCTGTCTGTAGGCGAGAAGAAATATAATCCTCCCAAACATACAAACTTCTGACCAAAACCAAGCAAAGTTCCTCTTGAGCACTGTCAGAAACATTTGCAGGTCACAGAACTCGTCTGTTGGTTTCTTTACAAGGTGGTGATTTCAATGTCAGAGCTTATAAAAAGAGATTCACTCAACCATCAGTCTTGCTACATGTCAGACTGACTTAAAAATACAATAAATGTTCATTTTCCATCCATCTTAAAGGCCTATAAGGACCTTATAAACATTGATAATTAAATAGTGAATCCCACCAATACATCCATTATTAAGGCCGTATTTTTATCCCCCAATCAGCTCAAGGTGACACACAATGTATGTGGAAGAGCTGAAAAGTGACCTTGTACACCACACTGAAATGATCCATAATTTCCCTCACTAACAGTTTCTCTTTGTAAGACTATGCTGAAGTCAGTCAAAAGCTATTCTAAAACGAGTTTACAGGGGAAAAAAAAAATGTAGGTACAGATCCAATTCTGCCATCAGAGTATCACTTGGGAACACTCTCCAGTTACTAATTTTGTAAGACAATTACCTGATTAAACAAAACTGAAATGATATTGAAGCCATCAGTCATTACTGACAGAAATTCAATTCTTCAAAGTGCCCAGTGACTACAGTACTGATAAGAACACAGACTGCAGGGGCAGAATTTACATCAAAAGCAAAAACACTTGTAAAATTTTTAAGAACACCCTTAATTATGCAGTTTCACTGCGGGGCCATACAAGCACTGCCCACAGTCAGGAGGGGGGATTTGAGTGATGCCCATTTCCACCTGATGTCACAAACACAGCTTGTACCAAAGGGAGGATTTTACTCATGGCAGGGGCTTGGGACATGATCTTAAAGGTCTTTCCAAGCCAAACCATCCTGTGATTCTATGAAACCATCCTGGAAGCTTCCAGTCCCACTGTCCTAAATACAAGCAATGTACTGAAGTTATTTAAGTGTCACCGACTCCTCAAATGATTCAATAGTAGAGAATTTTTTAGGGTCAGAGTGTTTCTAATACCACCATCAGATGATTTTTAGAATGTTTGAGCAAATGCTAGTGTTTGTTGGTTTGGTGTTTTTAATTTTCGTGTCACAGTCACCCAAGTACCCTCTAAGCAGGTTTCTGTAGCGAACCGAGCCCACAGGACATCACTTACTGACAGGGGGAAAACACAACATACAAACATCGTAAAAGCAGAAGCCAAAGACCTACTCAAGCTCCTTCTTCCTCACAGAAAGCGACAAGTTCGAGACGGCCAGTGCGTTACGGACAGATAATGTCTATAATGTAGCGCAGATGCCCGTGCCCTCATCACACACAACGAGGGACCCAGCAATGCCCCATAAACCTCCCTGAACCACCCCAGCACCGGCCTCCCAAACCAGAAAATCAGCTTTTCTCCTCTCTTTCATATGACTGCGCAACGCCGCCAATTTGTGTGACGGTTCCCCCCCCCCCCCCCCCAATAAGCACAAACACAAGTTTCGCTAATTCTCGGCTAATTTACGTAACCGCTTGGCTACACTTTTCGGAGGAGCTGCCCTCAGACCCGCGGCCCCCTCCGCGCCCACCGCTCACCTCAGCTCCCTCACGGGAGGGCCAGCGGGCTCCATGCCCGGGGGTTCCCGCAGGGAAGCGCTGCCGAGGGGTCGGGGAAGGCGGAGAGCCCCCGGGTCCCCTCACACGGCCCGGCCCGGCCGCGGCCTCCGCGCCGCCCTCAGCGCTCCGACACCATTGGCGCGCGTGACGGGGCCGGGACAGCGCCGCGCCAGGGCGCCCCCAGGCGGGCGGGAGGACCCGCGGCAGCACCGAGGGGAACCATTCCTTGCCCCCCCCCCCTCCAAAATCCAACCCCAAACCCCCAAAACAAAGGAGGCGGAGGCGGGAGGCTCTGTCTAGTATTTTATTAGATTTCGTTTCCAATATGCCTGTATTGGAAGATTTAGGAGACAAAAAAGGCACAAACTCACATTTAAAGAAACGACGAGATAATCTAACCCTTTCTACAAAGTGTGTTGCCAAAGGAAAAGAGCACGATGAACCCATCGGGAGGTGGCGGGAGGCCCAGCGGGATGAACCCAGAGGGGTGTGGGATGTGGGGGGCGAGCGGCCCCACCAGCAAACCAGTCTAACCCAGGCTGGGGCGAGGGACCTGCCTCCAGACCCCCAAACCCACCTGCTCTGGATGGGAGTGAGGGTCCCAGTGCATCCATCGCCCCTGGACAGACCAGTGGAGGATGGAGCAAGGGTCCCAGCGTATACATCCATCCTGGATGGACCAACAGCAGATGGGAGCAACAGTCCTGGCACATCCACTGCCCCTGGATGGGCCAATGTCCCAGGGCCAATCCCGCTGGGAGCCGACAGGTCGAGGGGTTCTTGCCAAAGCTGATGAGAGATACGGCACGGGAACGCTGCGTGATCTTCGCTATGCTCACTAGCAGGAACCAAGCACTGAGACTGAAGGGTCTTTACAGGATTTGTCTATCCCAAGGCTGAGGGATGCTTCCACTTCGGATCAAATTGGAAGGAAAGAAAACACAGGGCAAGGGAGGTGGGGAGGGAGCATTCAGGCTGAAGTTCCTGCAGTTTTCCTCCCCCCGCCTCCAAGTTTTTCCACTAATCAGGAAAGCTTTGTGTAAAAGCTCTTACTCTGAAATCAGAGGATCAAAAAAGGATTGCACGGTGGAATGTTACAATCTGCTTCCACGGCGATTAGTGTCATCGGATGGAAAGCCTCTTGGATAACACAAACTGAAAGAACAAGTGTGCTGTGTGTATTCTCAGGTTGCCCTCGAGTGTAAGAATCCCTCAAAACGTAACCAACAAACACGAACAGAAGTCAGTGCATAAATTCTCAGTTAAAAATACTTCAAACTGAAAGAACTCTAACTGGGGCCTACACTCCTAAAAAACTTCTGGAACAGCTACAGAACATGCCATGAAACATCCTGGTCCCAAATAGCCTCACAGATTAAAATTTAATTTCTTTACCTATTTTACAATAAATTTGTTTTACTTCTGCCTGGTGAGATTGCTAAAAACCCCTCAAACCCCACCCCAACCCCACAGAACCGTCTGAGGTCACTGAGAAGAGCCTGCCAGAGTTACTGGTACAATTCAGAGCTTATTGCACTTAGACATGAGTAAGGCAAAATAACAAACTAAAAATAAAGGGATAAACTGCCCCCTTCCCAGAAACCAAACGCCATCCTCTCCCTCCAGAGCATTCCTATCTTCCCTCGCTCTGCAAACAGTTCTGATCCCAGCCCTTGCTCAGCATGGTATGGGATCATTTCAGGATCTCCTGCTTGCAGGAGCAGGAAGGGCTGGAGGAGTTGGTGCATTACAGAATGCTAAAAAGACTCCTCAAAAGTGGTGGTGCACCCACGACTGTTTGGCATTTCAGTATTTCATGTTAGTGCTGCCAAATACAGAAGTGGAAAATAAAGTTATTACTACTCGGGGAAAAAAAACAAAAATCAAATATTGTGCCTTAGGGCATTAGCAAAGAAGTAGGATTTTTTTCCTCATATTTCTCATATTTAAGAAAGCAGCATTTCTTTGTTCTGCTTAGTTGATTGTCTAAAGCTGTTATCAACATAAGGATAGTTACAGTAAGTATTTGAGTTCATTAAATAACCAGAGCTCTTTACATTAACTGTATCCTTCGTGATTTATAATCACCAACAAATATCCTGGAAAACAACTGCAGGTTTTTGTAAGTTATTTTTTTATAGCACAAAAGCAGATATTTTAGTCATTCTTGCAATGGGAAGAATATTATTGCTGAGCAGAACCACCACTCCAGGCATCTGGATGTAACCAGATACCAAGACTTTACTTGTACACCAGCCTTTGCAACATCCCAATTGGTCCAGGGAGAATCACATTATTATTAGTCAGTCACTTTAGCTTTGTAAGTTATGGGAAATCTTGGTAAACAAAGAACCAGGAAGTTGCAACATCTGTCAAGAAAGATTTTGTAAGACTGACACACAGCTGGAGGACAACAGAGCTACAAGGGCCAAAGGGACCACGGACCCCTAAATTGAAACTCAACAGGGAAGTGCTGAAGGTCCCAGCACAGGGATGCTGATCACAGCTCCTGGGCAGTCTTTAATCCATGGATGCTAAGACAGAACAAAGTAATGCCAGGCAGGAGCCATGGATCACAACTCATCACAGACCAAGGACTCTCTCTGGCTGCTACTCATTATATATTCAGATTACCCATCATTAAATATCTCCCCCTGGGAGCAAGAGCCAAAGCAGAGCATTTTGTGGAATCGTTCTGCACTCTAAAATACTGACAAGTTTCCCTCTCCAAACAGACATTCAAAGAACGGTGAAGGGCTGGGCAGAAACAAAGGTGGCAGTTTATCCCACATGGGAAAAAAAAAATTAAAAAAAAAAAAAAAAGAAAAAAGAATCTAAGTCACCACATCACAAGACTATTTTAGCTAAAAATGTCACTTGGAAATCAAATAGGGCCACATGGAAGTTGGTCTGAACACAATGAAAAAAAGAGGAGGGAGGAGTTGTAAATACAGCGATCTCTAAGTCACACGTCTCCGAGGAGCTGCCTCCTTGGGATACACGTGCTAACACTGGAGTGCTTAGTACCAGACGGTCTATTTGCTCACAATATTAAGGGGCATCTAGAATTAGCTATGGGAGGTTTAAAATCGCCTGCCGATTGGATAGAGAAAGGCTTGATCCAGAGATGGTCCGTCAGTCAAGAGTGTGGATTCCCTGGGCCTTCCTGATGACTGTCTTGAAACTAAAACAAAGAGACAACAGGGAAACATTTTAGAACAGCTCTGGAAGAGCAGTGTGCCAAGAGAAGTGTCAGACAACCTTCAGAGAGCAAACGTGAGTCACGCTGTCACCAGGTAGACAATGGCAATACAGCCCTGCATCATGACATTGCAGCATGAACCCAGAGTAAATGTGAATGAAGAAGGAAATAAAAAGGTTGAAGTTGCATTAAAAAAATCATCAGGATTCATCAGAAACTATCAGAAGATCCCTTCAGGCACTCCCTCACCTTGCTCACCACCTACCACCAACTAACCAGCAGTTAACAGGACGAGCAGAGGTAAACAGTCAGTGCTCCAGGAGGATGTGGTTCTGCCCCACCCCATTCTTCCCAGGTATAACTGGGATGGTATTTTACTGCCCTAGAAAAGCTGAGGCTAGTTACCTGGACTTCTCAACATAAATGGACAATCTCTTCTTTCTCCTTGCCTTCTTACTTCTCTAACACTATACTACATTCTTCTACAGTGTCTAAGAAAAATTCACCAAAACCGAGCTCCAATTTGATGACATAATTTAACAGAATAGAAGGAGAACAAGTCAAAAGCATTGAAACTGTCATTGCTGCTTCTCCTGCAGTGTGAAGTGTTGCTCCAGGCCTTAGCCCATTAGTAAATACTGCTAACAAGCAATGCAAGAAATAAATTCCTTGCTAATATTCTTGGAATGTCCAATTTCCAACTGTATCTAAGTATTTGCAGGTCCAACTTTCTTTTTTTGAGGCACAAAAGTTTCTCTTCAAGTCATGGAAAAGTAACACATGCATTACAGAAATAAGAACAGCAGCAAAATCTACAAAATGTTCTAACACATTTTTCTTACACTTCTCACTCAGACATTTCTTCAGAATAGATCTGAAATGAGACAGTAAACTCGCTCATCAACCTGTCAGTGAAACGAGTTCACTATAAACACAATCAATACCACAGATTTGCCTGTCAGAAGCTATAAGCAGGATTGTTTCTTACATAGACTTTCTGGGGGGTTTTTAATTAAATAATAGAGCAATACAGAGCTTGTCAAACTCCCTTGATACCTACAGTGCACAAGGAAGGAGTCATATTAGTCATCTGCAGCCGACATTCCTTTCACTGGATCTTTTTCTCTCATCTGAAAGAGGAAACAATATTTGAGTACTGATTCTCACACGTTATCTCAAAATGTATCAGGATGGAACACATTAAGCTACCTCGTGTATGTAAGACACTGATTATACCTGAGCATCCCAAATCAGTGGTTGTGAAATGCACAGGCAGGCACCATTTCTGGTTAAGCTACAGGATTTGGAACCATTATCCAAGGAGCAGAGTGTACTTGAAACTATAATGAAATATCCTGAGGCATGAAGGGAGAGAAGGGTGCAGTGCAGGACACAAATCACAGAACAAGGTTCTCATTATTACCAAACTTGTGTTTCTTAGAGTAAGAATCCTGTTACATACCCTCACTACCTGCTTATAGTATTTAGAGCTAAAAAACCTTTTACTCAGCTGGTTTTTGGCAATGAAGGAGGACAAAACTGACCATTCAGCTTTGGGTAAAAGAGACCAGAAGATATTAAAGCAGCAAATGAATCACTGACACTCAGACCCTCATTACCTGTGGTTCAATACATTTCCTGGCTCAACAACAAACAGAAGTCCACAATGATCAGAAGGAGATGCCAGCACGATGGAGTCATGGCAAAATCATTCAAACCACACACAGCATGACCCAGATAGCAGGAGGACAGTACACACTCTGCTCTGACAATGCACCAGTCTTTCCTCTCTACTGTACTGGAGAGAAGCATTTTCTCACACAACCCACACCTGCCCTGCTTTTCCACTGACCTCATCCAGCTGTCTCTTGGTCTCCTCCTCCATCCTACGAATGTCCTCCATAGTCAGATCAACCCACTTATCGAGCCAGCAAAAGAGCTGC